TGTAAATTGTCACAACAGTTAGAAAATGTAGTCATTGATATTTGTTCACGACACATGATTAAAGGTGTTGGAGGATTTTCTACTTCCCGGTGGATCATGGAGACTATTGGTCCTCCCACTTGTCAATCATTCTAGTCATACATGCTCGTCCAATAAGACCGGAGAGTTTTGTTCAAGAAGTGGAGAGGGCGGTTCTTTACTAAAGTTTGTAAAAATCCTCCTAAAAACCTATAAATCAAAGAAAACAGCAAAAAATACACAAAAATAATTTTAATAAAAACCGGTTTAACTGAGACAACGAGTTTGTCATTGTTTTAAAGTTGGAGTTAGAGATGTGAGTTAGAGTTCTTGAGTTTTGTGTGTGTGTGTGTGTGTGTGTGTGTGCGTCTGCATGTGCGTGTGTGAGTGTGTGTGAGTGTGCGTGCGTGCATGTGTGTGAGTACCTAATAATAAATGTGGTTTGGGTGTGTCTATTGTGTGTTTTTAACCAATCTGTAAAGCTTTTTGTGTTGCATTTCTTGGATGAAACACTTGAGTGAGTGAGTGAAACTCACTTTATAAAAAACAATTGATTTGATACATAATAAATGAAATAAAACAGAATAAAATACACACAAATACATTTTAAAAAGTGGTTTAAAAAAGGCCAACATTCTCGTATAAACAATGAGAGGTTGTTTTAAAGTTGTGAAGTTGAAATGTGAGAGTTTGTGAAGACACCGTACAGTTGTGTTTTTCGACTGCCTCCAATTATCCTCATTTAGAGCTGAGAATGTTTTGCCTTATTTCTTCCTCACGTTGCGTCGGAGTGAAATGTTTTCTCTCCTAATCACGGACTCAAAGCTGTTATTGGCCTGAAATTGTCAGTTTATGGCTGGCCCTGTCTCCGGGGTTACATTTCATTTCCTGTCTCTGATCTGATGCTCCTATTACCTCGGGAAACTTTGCAGAAATAACTTTCATTAGAGTGGCATAAATGCTACACCGCTGTCATCTCCGCTCACCCGTGCTCCGCTCTCTCGACCCTCCCTCTTCCCCGGGAACAAACGGAAAGCAGAAAAAACCAACGACTGACGGCGGCGGCTTCTTGGACACGTGTCTGAGCCGGTGGCGGGCGAGAGCTCTGCTAGCTTCCCGCGTGACAGCCGTGTGCTAACGCCGCAGAAACGCCTGTGTAGCCTAAAAACTCTGAGATCAGCCATTACGAGCGCGTCAATCCGAGCAGGTGCCAACATTCTTCTGGGCAGCTGGAAGGGAAAGCTCACACTGCACGGCTTCTAATGAGGACTGGAGATCATTAGAGTCGTTGTAAAGGTGTCTGGGCCGGGGTTAAATATGGCACAATCTCTGTCGTCCTGCGGATAATGGAGCCCTGTCCGTACACGTCCTAATTATATATTTTTGCTCCATGGCCTGAAGATAAAGAGCTGGTTATATATACGGTCTAATGTGGCAAAAAGACAGCAATAATTAGATCATGGCTGTCAAAGTGTTCTCCATTGGTCCCACAGAGAAGCCGTTTGGAAAGTAAACCAAAACTAAGAAAGTCCAGTAACTTTAACTCAGAAATTAAAAAGTTTTGTTATATTAATTTGTGTTAAAGAATTGAGTTGTGAAGTGAGTCAAGAACAGCTGCTTTTTGACTTGGATCGAGATAATATGGAAGAAAATGCGTTGCTAGCATTAACATTGGTAATAATATACTGTACCACTGCTAATAATCATAATAATAATCATTTTTGGTTTTATACAGCACTTTTTGGACACTCAAAAAAACTCCATTCATGAAAAACTACTACTGTAGCCACGGCTGCCCTGGGGCACACTGACAGAAGCGAGGCAACCAGTCTGTGCCATCAGCCCCTCCCACCACCACCAACCATTCACACACACACCAGACTCTTTCTAATGTGGGGGAAGTGTCTTGCCTAAAGACACAACCACAGTTTATCACTTGACAGCCGCCGCACTGTGGCACCTGGCGTTCACCAGAGGTCTCCCATCACAGCACTAACCAGGCCCTGCCCTGCTTAGCTTCACAGGTCTGACAGGATCTGCACATTTCTGAACAGTGTCTCTATGTGTTTGTTATAGCCTTTTCTGTGTTCAAATCTTGTTTTTTCTACCTTTCGACAACTTTGTAAACTCCTCCGAGACGACTGCTGTTGTGATGTCAGGCGCTACACAAATAAATTGAATTGAAAAAAGTGTTAAAGTAGAAAACATCTCCACAGAGGGACTGCCTCTCCATTCCTCTGTGAATACTGTGAAAAACACACAAAACACATGTCCTTGCTACACACTGTCTTTATGCACACACAACAGAAGCAGAGAGGCACCCGCCCGCAAGCGGCTCTGAATCCACCGACACCAGCGCGGCTGCATTAGAAAAGCCACGGCCAATTGGACTTGAATACTGCACCATTTGGCCCCGACCCGCGGTGCTCTGGATCCAACCTGGCAACCGCAGGCGTCACGTGTCACCGATACTTCTACGCTAACGATTCGCTAACGGCCGCATTAATCCACTGAGCCTCATTGACTTCTATGCAGCGGTAACAGCAGCAGAAGCAGCAGAAGCAGCAGCAGCAGCAGAAGCAGAAGCAGAAGCAGCAGCAGCAGCAGAAGCAGCAGAAGCAGCAGCAGCAGCAGAAGCAGAAGCAGAAGCAGCAGAAGCAGCAGCAGCAGCAGCAGCAGAAGCAGAAGCAGCAGCAGCAGCAGAAGCAGAAGCAGCAGCAGCAGCAGCAGAAGCAGAAGCAGAAGCAGCAGCAGCAGCAGAAGCAGAAGCAGCAGCAGCAGCAGCAGCAGCAGCAGAAGCAGAAGCAGAAGCAGCAGCAGCAGCAGCAGCAGTAGCAGCAGCAGCCGCAGCAGCAGCAGAAGCAGCAGCAGCAGCAGCAGCAGGAGCAGCAGCAGTAACAGCAGCAGTAACAGCAGAAGCAGCAGGAGGTTTTCTCCGGCTGCGGCTGTAAAGTGGCAAACGTTTCCTTAGGAAAGACAATTCCCCCACATTAGAATGAGTCTGGTGTGTGTGGATGGTTGGTGGTGGTGGGAGGGGCAGATGGCACAGACTGGTTGCCTCGCTTCTGTCAGTGTGCCCCAGGGCAGCTGTGGCTACAGTAGTTTATCACCACTGTGTTTGGAGAGAATGAATAATGACATGTGAAGAGACTTTGAGCGTCCAGAAAAGATTATAAAAATAAAACCAATGCTTTATCATTATTACTAAGACACATACACAGATAATTACACACACACACACACGCACACACACACACACACACACACACACACAGTTAGAACCGTTTGATTCTCTGATCTGTTGTTGTCGAATGTAATGGTTTTGTAAAGTCCTCTTAGTGTTGAGATTTAGGTCTGTACAAGAATACATAGAGTTGGATTGAAGTTTGTGGAGAGGACCAGAGAGAGACCAGAGAGAGACCAGAGAGAGACCAGAGAGAGACCAGAGAGAGACCAGAGAGAGACCAGAGAGAGACCAGAGAGAGACCAGAGAGAGAGACCAGAGAGAGGCCAGAGAGAGACCAGAGAGAGACCAGAGAGAGACCAGAGAGAGACCAGAGAGAGACCAGAGAGAGAGACCAGAGAGAGAGACCAGAGAGAGACCAAAGAGAGACCAGAGAGAGACCAGAGAGAGACCAGAGAGAGACCAGAGAGAGACCAGAGAGAGACCAGAGAGAGAGACCAGAGAGAGGCCAGAGAGAGACCAGAGAGAGACCAAAGAGAGACCAGAGAGAGACCAGAGAGAGACCAGAGAGAGACCAGAGAGAGACCAGAGAGAGACCAGAGAGAGAGACCAGAGAGAGACCAGAGAGAGATCAGAGAGAGGCCAGGGAGAGACCAGAGAGAGACCAGAGAGATATCACTCTGACTGTTTTTGAAAAGCTGTGATTCCGACGCTGTTTTCTCAGGATTGACTTTTATGTACATTTTCCTGAACGTTTGCACCAACACCGACAATTCATTACAAAAACAAACTATTGAAACTAAACTCTCCCTTTGAATTCATGGGAAGCAGTTTCCGATTCCCCCTTGTTCGGTTTCAGCACCATGGACAGCGACAGTGACCCCCAGCACTGCTACATCCTTCACAAAGAGCTTTCCCAAAATGTTTTTCCTGTTTTTTTATTTCTTAATCCAAACCAGAGACAGGTTCCTTTAGTGTGACGTGCCAAGAGCTTAAAACTACATGACCTGGTGTGAGAATTGTGTAAGACGGAAATAAACAAATGGGTCTGACATGTCTCTGTCTGACCGACCCTCGCACATCCTCATTACTCACGTTTATATTTGACTTACAGCACAGACACAGATCAGGTTTTCGGATTGGATTGTTCCTCTCTGATGCAGGAGAGTCCGAGGACAGTGGCGAGGATCCAGGACACTCCACATTCAATGACTTTTATGGACTTTATAAACATTTATGGACATTGGTCTCTCTCCTGATGGACCAATGGCTCTATGTGTTTTTTTTAATTATCGCATTTCTTGTGTGTGAACGGTTTGATTCTCTGATCTGTTGTTGGCGAATCAGTGTTCAATGGCTCAGTTTTGTGACACACTTCTTCATTCACTCCACTGCAAAAAATGATAAGGTCATAAATTCTAAAATTAAATGGTTTTGATACTAATTTGAGCACATTCTGAGTGTCTTAAAAAACAGATTCTCCACTGGAACAAAAACATTTAGCCTCATTTCAAGAACTGTTTTTTTTTTAATCTTCTCAATCCAAAGGAGACATTTTTTGCATATTTTTAAAACAAGATCAATTGTGCTGAAATTAAGACACATTTTTGCCAAATTTGAGCCATTTCTGACTTATTTTCCCCCACTTTTTGCAGTGCACACACTCTCTGCAGGGAGCAAACGACACAAACCAGATACACAGGCTGTAATTCTCCTCTGGTTGTGTCCCTACGTGCGCTGCCGAGGGCTAAATATTCACCTAGAAGCAGAAAAAAGTCACGACACTGCTTTTTTATCCTCATCCCACCCTCTGCTCCCTTCGCCTCCTCACGTCCTGAGCCTGGACCCTCCCCTTGTACTGTCTGCTATGACCGTCCTCTCCACAATACGGGGCTGTAATCTCTGCACCTCCCCTTTCTCGCCCTCTCCCTGAGCATCCCAGCCTCCGCTTCCTCGAGATCCATCGAACCTCCAGCTCCTGCGAAGGGGAAAAAAAGTACACGCGTCTGCATTATTATTCCCTCTGTAAAAAAAAAAAAAAAAAAAAAATCATCCAGGGAGAGTTCCGCTGACGGACTTCTTCTTCTGCTGCTGCTACTTTGCGATTTTCCTTCCTCCCCTTTTTCTTTTTTCTTTTTCTCATTCTTGTTGTCGTCGCCGATGCCAGGGACCACGCCGAAAGAGCGGATTTTTTTCCTCTGAGCATGACAAGGATTGCCAACCCATGCGCAATCCAACATCACCGACTGCGCCTCCACCAGCATGAGCACTGGATACATATGCTACAGCAGAAGTTGTTGGCTGGAGAACTAACAAAGCTTGGCCCGAAGCTACCGCGAGGAGGGGAGAGTCAGTTTTAGGTAAGGACACAGAGACGCACGCACTGGAAACCTTTTGATTGTTATTCGTGTGAAGAGACTTGGTGTTTGCAGAGAGACTGTGGGTGATGGAGAGAGACTGGGCAGGTGTATACAGCACTTTGCACAGCGCGGTGGCACAGATATGGCGTTGGTGCGTGGTCAGCAGGTTTCGTCTCCTTGATATGGCTAAATCTGTGGCTTCATAATCATTCACGCTGACCCCCCCTCTGTCTCCCAACGCGTCCTCTCTTCTCCTCTCTCCTCTCTCCCGCTCGCTTTGCCTCAATGTCGTCACTCTGCATGTGCCCTCGGTGTTTGCACGCACCGTACAGTCAAAGCGAGACACGCGTTAGATAGAAACGCAACTGTGATTTTTGTATTTATTGATTCTTATACGTGCGCTTGGCTTTGCTTTGCGTTGCCTCCTGCGTGTGGGAACATCTGTGGCCGACGCGATCTTTGCTGCAGACAAGAAGCAAATATAGAAGTGTTATAATAATAAGTCTGTGTGCATGTAGACGTGGCTACAGTCCAAACGCCGAGAGCCATGAGGTGAAAGGTAGAATAAACACAGCAGCGCGTAACAGCAGAAGCCTCGCTCTGTCTCTGTCTATATCTATATATTTATACATATGTTTTATTATAACATTAGTTTACGTTCAAACCCGCGTCCCAGCACCTGCCTGTGTGGACAGAACGCGTGCCTTTTGACTACGAAGGTAAAACAAATCAATCCCGGTTTAACGGTACAGCCTCTGCTCTCTGTCCCGTATTATTCAATTAGTTGATTGTAATTAACCCAAGACGAGATAGAAACTGTATTTGTCGCACAGTGGGGGCAAATTTCAGTGTTGCAACTCACACACAAGACAGTAGTAACACAACACAATATACAGAGATAAGTATAGCTGTAAATGTGCATCACGTGTATGTAATTTGCGTTATTCAAGTGTTTGTCTTGCTTAGTGTGCCGGTGCGGGTTTTTGGTGTAGTGTGCGTGCGTTTTGTTGTGTTTTCGATTATCTTTGTGTGCGTGCGTGCGTGTGTGTGTATGTGTGCGTGTGTGTGTGTAGGTCTGCAAAAGTTCGCCCTGGCGTGGGTTCCCTTCCGTGGGTGCAGTTCCCCGGGCTGGCGGCGGGGGGCGCTCACGGTCCTTCTCCTGCAGGTGTCACTGTTCGGCCTAAAGGGGAGATAAGTGCGCGTGATACTGATAGCGGCTCAATGGAATTAGACAAACTGCTGCTGCTGTAAAGTGCCATTGTTGCCCTGATTGTCCCTGTGCGCTTTCACAAGGTACAAAGGGAAATACTGTATTCACACACAGACAAGCAGGCGATAAAGACACAGGCTAATCAAGGACATCACATGCTAATTTAATAGTTTAATCAGTCCACGGGCTGCAGAAGATTAAGATGAAGAGATTATGTATGGGTCCCACGGCGGCGGGGAAATGTCAGTGTTGCACTCGCAGTTACAGATAAATGAACAATAACAATAAACTCTATAGTAAAATAAAATACAATCTCTAGCTTTAGCATAATAAAGAAGCTAGTCTAAAATCTCTAGCTTTAGCATAATAAAGAAGCTAGTCAAATCTTGTATATTCTAGAGTAATGATCTATAGCGGTATGCTAACATGTGTACATTAGCCTCATGAGGCCCTGGGACACAGTGACGGAGACACTTGTGGTTCTGTATTGCACATTCTGACATTGTTTGAAATCATTGCATATTTGCACCGATGTGTGAGGTCAGATCGACAGCGTTCGTTGCCACGGCGACCCGGAGACAAGAGCAATAGTTATAGTTTGTGTTTGGGACTGAAATGTTGTCTATTTTCTTTCCGTTTGTTGCGTGAAAAGACAGAATCACAAAGGACTCCAGGATCCTGGTTTGAGTCTGAGTCTGAGTCTGAGGAATCCAAGTGATGTACTGTAAATTCAGAACTATAAATCAGATTTTTATCCTCCAGTTTGAAGGCTGCGGCTGGTCAGGTCCAGATTATAGTCAGGTCCATTTTATAGTCAGGTCTAGATTACAGTCAGGTCCATTTTATATTCAAGTTCAGATTATAGTCAGGTCTAGATTATAGTCAGGTCCATTTTATAGTCAGGTCTAGATTATAGTCAGGTCCAGATTATAGTCAGGTCTAGATTATAGTCAGGTCTAGATTTTAATCAGGTCCAGATTATAGTCAGGTCCATTTTATATTCAGGTTCAGATTATAGTCAGATTATAGTCAGGTCCACTTTATAGTCAGGTCCATTTTAAAGTCAGGTCCATTTTATAGTCAGGTCCAGATTATAGTCAGGTCCATTTTATAGTCAGGTCTAGATTATAGTCAGGTCCAGATTATAGTCAGGTCCATTTTATATTGAGGTCCATATTATAGTCAGGTCCAGATTATAGTCAGGTCCATTTTATTGTCAGGTGCGGTTTATAGTCAGGTCCAGCGCATAGTCAGGTGCGGCTTTAATCAGGTGCGGTTTATAGTCCGGAAATACTGTATTTTAAAAGTAAAAGGGCGAGCAACATGGTCCTGTTGGTCAGGACCAGGACCAGAGACCAGGACCAGGACAGGACCAGACCAGGACCAGGACCAGGGACGCATGTTAGGACCCAGGATCAGGATCATGGATTCTGTTGCCTCATTGGGTCACCGGTGCTTTTCGAGGGTACTTGGGGTTAACACACTGCATAAAAATGATAGGTCTGCGGAGACGCTGCTGAATTGATATGGATCTTTTCTGAAAAGTTCCTCTGACGACGTGTGGATGTGGGGTTATGATAATTTCATCTGGAAATAGTGGAGTGTTGGTGATGTGTTATGAAACCACTTGAGAGTCTGTAATCATCTCGCTCGCTCTGCGTCGAGCGAGGCGGGCGCGCAGGAGAAGGGTGCGCGCGCGCGATCCAAGCGAGGCGCGCGCGAGCTCTCGAGAGCGCTGGGCGCGACGAGGCGAGGTCGCGCGGCTGAGCGAGGGGGGGCAGAGGCGAAAGAAGTAGAGTAGCGCGAGCGCTGGGGTAGGGGTGGCGACGAGGAAGAGAGGGAGAGGACGCGAGCGCGAGCGCCGCGAGCAGGCGAGAGGGGCGAAGAGGCACGGGGAGAACGCGCGCGCGGTGCGTCAGCTTCACTAGCGAGAGAGAGAGAGCTGGGGAGAGAGCGAGGGCGCCTCGAGAGCGGCGAGAGAGAGGGGCGGTGCGGGCGCAGAGACAATTGAGTAGGGAGCGAGAGGGATGAGCGAGAGAGAGCGGGGGGAGAGAGAAGGCAGCGCGCGCGGCGAGGGGAGCGGGAGAGAGAGAGAGGGGAGAGGGCGCGCATGCGCAGATGATAGAGAGGGAGGAGAGAGAGAGCAGAGAGAGAGAGAGAGGGGGAGAGTAGGAGGGGAGAGAGAGAGAAGAGCGTCGGAGGGGCGCGAGAGAGGGAGCGGGAGCGCGCCAGCGGCGGGGGCGGGGACACGGAGCGGGCGCGCGCGAGCGCGCGCGGGCGACGCGGCAGAGCGCTAGAGGCGAGACGAGGGGTCGCGAGATGGGCGCGCGGAGAGCAGAGCGGAGGCGCGAGAGCGAGCGCGCGGGGCGGAGAGCGGCGCGGGTGGCGAGTCGCGGAGCGCGGACTGGGCGCGCGCGGCGTGATAGCGCGGGGGGCGCGCGCGCGCGCGTGAGCGCGCGCGAGCGCTGGGGATGAGCAAGAGCGCGCGTCCAGTGCGCGGCGCTGGGGCGAGAGCGGGAGAGGGAGGGCGCGCGCTCGCGCATCAAGCGAGCGTGTGGGCGCGAACATGGATCGCGAGCGAGGGTCGCGCGAGCGACGCGAGGCGACGCGGGGCGCGCGTGCCGCGGGGTGGCGACGAGCGCGCGCGCGCGAAGGGGGGGGGGGCGAGCGCGGGAGCGCGCGCGGGGGGCGCGCGGGGGAGCGAGGAACGCGGGGGCGCGCGCGCGAGCGCGCGAGGGGAGTCGGTCGCGCTCTCTAGGGGGCGTGTCGATCGCTGATCGGAGCGAGGGAGCGGCGGCGCGCATGATCTGCGCGCGCTGCGCTGGGGCGGCGTCTGGGCGCGCCGGCGCGCAGCGCGCGCGGTGAGGGAGGCGAGCTGCGCGCGCGCGGCGGTGTCGGTAATGGCGCTGTGGAGCCGGTAGGCGCTGACGCGCGAGTCTCTCTCTCTCTGTCTCTTTTCTCTCTCTCTCTCTCTCTCTTTCTCTCTCTCTCTCTCTCTCTCTCTCTGGTCTCTCTCTGGTCTCTCTCTCTCTCTCTCTCTCTCTCTCTCTCTGGTCTCTCTCTCTCTCTGTTTCTTCTCTCTCTCTCTCTCTCTGGTCTCTCTCTCTCTCTCTCTCTCTCTCTCTCTCTTCTCTCTCTCTCTGGTCTCTTTCTCTCTCTCTCTCTCTTTCTCTCTCTCTCTCTCTCTGGTCTCTCTCTGGTCTCTCTCTGGTCTCTCTCTCTCTCTCTCTCTGGTCTCTCTCTCTCTCTCTCTCTCTCTCTCTGGTCTCTCTCTCTCTCTCTCTCTCTAGCTCTCTCCTCTCTCTCTCTGGTCTCTCTCTCTCTCTGTTTCTTTCTCTCTCTCTCTCTCTCTCTGGTCTCTCTCTCTCTCTCTCTCTCTCTCTCTCTGGTCCTCTCTCTCTCTCTCTCTCTCTCTCTCTCTCTCTCTGGTCTCTCTCTCTCTCTCTCTCTCTCTCTCTCTCTGGTCTCTCTCTCTCTCTGTTTCTTTCTCTCTCTCTCTCTCTCTCTCTCTGGTCTCTCTCTCTCTCTCTCTCTCTCTCTCTCTGGTCTCTCTCTCTCTCTCTCTCTCTCTCTCTCTCTCTCTGGTCTCTCTCTCTCTCTCTCTCTCTCTCTCTCTCTCTCTCTGGTCTCTCTCTCTCTCTGTTTCTTTCTCTCTCTCTCTCTCTCTCTGGTCTCTCTCTCCAAGGGCTGTCAATCATCGTTGCTGTGAATATCTACTTCCGGGTTTACCGCAATCACTTTTTTTGAGCATTAAAACTGTATTTTTGTCATGAAAACGTGAACAGATAATTCTGAAACCCTCTGTGCATGTGTATTAATAATGTATATGTATAATGTGTTCTCTGATTAACATTTAAATGTATTGATTGTTATGGAAACGTAGGCGCAGACCAATCAGAAAGGAAGGGGGAGGAGCTTGGGTCATTTTTTTCAAATCATGAACCTCTCTCTCTTTTTTCTGACAAACTCCAGACAATCACTTTAAAACAAGGCACTAACGACTGCTTTTCTCTCAATGAATTCAATTCTGGACTTTTTCTCATCAGTGAAACATAATTTAGATTTATTTAATTGGATGCACTGAAAAAAACAGAAACTGCCGTCTCAAAACTCAATTCAAAACACTCCGAAAAAATTGTCAAAAAATCAAAATCAGTCACAATTTCTTCTCTAGACTCACTTTTTTCAGCTGCTTTTGATTCTCTGTTTATAAAACCTCAATATCAACACATCCACAACAACAACGACCCCAATCTTCATTAAAAAACGGTTTAATTAGTTTGATTTAAAGCCAAATGTTTAGTTTAGAATCATTGGAGAAACTGACCTCATTTAATCATGTTTTGAGAAATCTGTTTTTCTTTCTTGCCGTCTCAAAACTTAACTTAAAACGCTCACAAAGTTGTCAAAAAGAATCCCATTTTCTTCTGTAGACCCACTTTTTTCCCGCTGCTTCTGATTCTCTACATATAAAACCTCAATTTCCTCTATATACACAGAATATTACTACACCGCCAACAATCATCACAAAGGTTATTATTTATTTGATTTAGTTAAGTTTTAATTTAGTTTATTAATGGAATGCCAATGGAACAAAGTAAAGAAAAGCTTTGAGAGAGCCCTTTGAAAGTAAAGGCTTCGGGTTGAATTAAACGGTTTACTGTCAAACACACTGTACTTTCTCAACAGTCAAATGTTTAGTGTAGAATCAAAGGAAAGACAGACCTCGTTTAATCTTAGAAATTGTCAAAAAGAATAAAAAACAGTCACATTTTCTTCTCTAGACTCACTTTTTTCCCGCTGCTTTTGATTCTCTGTTTATTAAACCTCAATTTTCACACATATACAGAGACAAAAACCCCAATTTTGATTAAAAAACCATATTATTAATTTGATTTCAGGCCCTCGTCTCTCGCAGGCGACACTGGCCTCTCAGACTCATCTTTTGGGAAATGTGTTTTTCTTTCCTGCCGTCTCAAAACTCAACTCAAAACGCTCACAAAGTTGTCAAAAACAGTCACACTTTCTTCTATAGACTCACTTTTTCCCGCTGCTTTTGATTCTTTACATATAAAACCTCAATTTCAACATAAATGCAGCAACGACAAACCCAATCTAAAAGAAAACACTTTTTAATTTATTCGATTTCAAGCTAAACCCGAGATATGATCTACACACAGAGAACGCCAAAGCAACCCCAGTCTTATTTAAAAACTTTTATCATTTGTTAGATTATGTTGAATGTTGAAGAGACTGACCTCATTTAATCAGGTTTTAGGAAATCTGTGTTTCTTTTCTGCCGTCTCAAAACTCAAAAAGCATCAAAAACAGTCACATTTTTGTCTCTAGACTCACTTTTTCCCGCTGCTTTTGATTCTCTGTTTATTAAATCTCAACTCTAACATAAATCCAGCAACGATGACCCCAATCTTAATTAAAAAACCTTATAGTTGACTCGATGTCCAGCCCACCCCTCGTCTCTCGTTGGCGACACCGGCCTCCCAGACTCACCTTTCGGGGGAGATCCGTCTCTCTTCTCGGCGCTGCTCGGCCCAGTCTGCGGCGGCCATTACACACAGAACCTTTAACTTGATTTGCTTCCCTGCCGCCTCCCCACGCTCCCCGCAGCACTATACAGTCATTTGATCCGCTCCGGTCTCGCAGTTGTGTCCGAGGCTTTCTAAACAAAATGATGCCCTCTCGGAGCTGAAACATCTCTGGGCTCCAATTTGTATAAAGACGACGAGCAGCTGTGACCAGAGCCTTTCTGTGACCAGAGCCTTTCTGTGACCAGAGCCTTTATGTGACCAGAGCCTTTCTGTGACCAGAGCCTTTATGTGACCAGAGCCTTTCTGTGACCAGAGCCTTTATGTGACCAGAGCCTTTCTGTGACCAGAGCCTTTATGTGACCAGAGCCTTTCTGTGACCAGAGCCTTTATGTGACCAGAGCCTTTCTGTGACCAGAGCCTTTCTGTGACCAGAGCCTTTATGTGACCAGAGCCTTTCTGTGACCAGAGCCTTTATGTGACCAGAGCCTTTCTGTGACCAGAGCCTTTCTGGGACCAGAGCCTTTCTGGGACCAGAGCCTTTCTGGGACCACAGCCTTTCTGTGACCAGAGCCTTTCTGTGACCAGAGCCTTTCTGGGACCAGAGCCTTTCTGTGACCAGAGCCTTTCTGTGACCAGAGCCTTTCTGTGACCAGAGCCTTTCTGTGACCAGAGCCTTTCTGTGACCAGAGCCTTTCCCCACTTTTTATTTTAGCTTTTGCCAATTCTCTGTGAGGCTCGAGGTCTGGCATTGTCCTCGTGATTATTTCATTTGCCTCTTACGCCATAGGCAGGTCTAACATGGCATATATATATACATATATATACTACTGTATATATACTGCTGTGTATATACTATTGTATATATACTGCTGTGTATATACTACTGTATATATACTACTGTGTATATACTGCTGTATATAGAGGCTTGTTTTGTATTGTGCAAGAGATGAGACGAGGGTTTGTACTGCACAGTTCATACACAGGGATTAACAAGGCGTTCGAATTATGAATGAATACATACATACAGTACATTTATACATACATATACAGTACATACAGTACATACATACATACATATACAGTACATACAGTACATACAGTACATATATACAGTACATACAGTAGATACATACATCAATATTCACAGTATATAAACAAGAGTAAAAGTACAATCCCTCGTTTGTCTTGGCACAGCTAAACTGAACCTTTAAACCTGGATCTGAACATTGTCAGAGTAGAAGCCTGTCTCACATTTTCAGGAAGACTGTTTTCATTTTTTTTGTCCATTTGGTCGGGACAGTACATGTTGATGAACACATCACTCCGGGTTGTAGTCGCACTCACAAACACACACTCATTCTCCCTGAACTACTGTACATGTTTTTAGTGGTAGGGGAAAGCGGAGCACCTGGAGGACACCTACGCAGACACAGGGAGAACATGCAAACTCCCCTCAGAAAGGCCTTGTTCCGACCGATCTGAAACGCTGCCTCCTCATGTTCAGTCCTGACTCTGGGACCAGCAGGAGACCAGTCCCATCTGTCGGCAAGCTGCAGTTTCATATCACTAACTCGCTCCTGATTGGCCCAAATATCTCACATGTGATTATTGTATTGCCTCGTATCTGGTTGTAGCTGTTTGAGTTTCTGATCTGCTGTAGACCGATCGACAACTTTGTAAAGACCTCTGCAACGACTGCTGTAGTGATGACAGAGGTTTTATTCATTGTCTAAAAAAAAAAAACATATTCAGTGAGTTTTTACATCTGCTTCTGAAGCGCAAAAAATATAAAAAAAAAAATATATAAAAATATAAAAAAAAAAGCAGGACTAAAAAGAAGAGATTGCGTTTTTTTTTAAATATTTTAATTACCAAAACATAATTATATTGGTGGATTTAAAGCCATTTTAATTCCATGAACTCCTGATGGTCCCGAGATTATTTACCCCCAATTCCGGTGAGTTCCAGTGAGGTCAAAGTGCTTGGACAAAGTCACGAGACGCCTTTGAAAGCGTCGCAAGGTTCCACATGACTCCCACTTTGTTTACGGCAGTGGGAATAAACAATAACCAGCCAGAGTGGTCAGACCGGTTTGGAAGCGACGCCGATCATACCATAAACACTTGTATCTGTACTGAGTTAGTATCTGTTGTGTTGCTTCCCCTTTGATTCAGTGATTTGAATAATAATAATAATAACACATTGTACTGATATAGCGTTGTTTTGGACACTCAAAGACGCTTTACAGAAGAAAA